ATATATATATATATAATTAAAGATAAATAAAAGATTAAACCAAAAGAAAAAGTCGAGTAATTTTAAGATAGAATTTAAAAATTAAAATAAAAAAAAAAAGGGAAAAGAAAAGAGAAGTTGAGGATAAAGAAATGGTGGGTTAAAATTGAGTGGGTAAAAGTAAGGTAAGATTGGAGGGGAATGTCCAATCGTGGAGTTAGGGTATCCATACCTTTATAAGGGCAGTTATATATTGATATAGTGAATATATATATATATATATGTGTGTGTGTGTGTGTGTGTATATATACATATATATATATATATAGGGGACATGCACATGCATCTTCCTCTCTCCAAAATTAACATTTTCATTTGCTCCTTTTCCCACTCTTTCTCTCACCATATCATCTTTGAAGCTAACCAAAATCTTCTGCAATCACCCTGTCTCCAATTTTTTCTTAATTTTTATTTTTTATTTTTTACAAAATATGAGAAAATGGGTATATGTATATATATAGATATACCCATTTTCTCATATTTTCATTACTTTTTCATATCAATTTTAATCTCCATATATATATATATATATATATTTTCATTTTTCGTAATTATTAGCAATCTATTGTTATTAATTTATTAACATAATTAATCATTTAAAATTATTCTCTCAAGTAATTTTAAAGAATCTAAAATATAATCTAATTTCTTATTAAAAATTCAAAAAAAAAAAATTAAACATTTGAAATAAATAAAAAAATATTACGAATAAAATTATTAAAAAAATATTAGAAATGAGTGTCACAATTTCATAGGTTAATTTAATAGTTTATATTAACATTTATATTTTAGGTTATATTTAAGTAAACCCATTTTTAGACCAGTATATATATCTATATACATATAATATAATATAATATATGTACCTATTACGTATATATACATGGAAATTCGCATGTTTCACGTGTGGGAGTATTTCACGTGCCCCACCATGTACATTAATTAGCAACTTACATCAACTCGTCACATGATCGCACATGACCAATTCGTGGAATTAGTCAGTGATACGTTTGATAATTAACAAAAAATTTTAGATATTTTATGGATGGTAAAAACATATATATATATATGTATATTTACAGTTTATATACGAACCGAGTTTAATATATGTTCATACCAGTAACATATTATATAACTCCAATTACTACTTCTCAATTGATTTGGAAAATCATCATGGCTAATTGAGATCAAGAATTCGTAAATAAATTTTATTTTTTGAAGGTTAAATATGATTGTTTCGTATTATAAAATTTAAATTTAATTCAAAAACGTTGCACGTTAAAAAATAATTTGTCAATTATAATTTAAGATCGTTGTATCATTATATATATGTATATATATTAAATTTAAGAAAACATATATTTTTATAAAATAATTATGTAATTTAAAATTATTGATAGATCGTAGGAGATGTGAACTCATCGTTATAATGTATATGTGAGTTTGAATTTGTTATATATCCTGTGTATTATTAGGCACGTGTCAAATAATGCATAAATTGTTAATACATACATATATATATATATATGTGTGTATGTGTATATTGGAAGTGAATAATATTTAAGGAAGGGGGAGTTGGGTAGTCGTGATCATCCTTAAACAAATAAAATATATAGTAACCCCTAAATATATAAATAAATCATTTAAGAACAACGTGGCTATATATATATATATATATATATATATACACACACACACATATATGAAAAAATATAATTTTGAAGAATTTTATTAACATGTATCGCCTGGATTTTGCGAGTTTTCATGATTGTTAGTGGTTATATGTGGTAGCCCGCTAGAATATATACATATATACACATATATATATATATATATATTCAAATTAATTATAATGCCTAGCTAGGTTTTAGTTTTCCACTAGAGAAACAGACAGAGAGACGGATCCCAAAGCTTTGGGAATCTTGAAGGCTTCATTCATTACACAGCACAAGAAGGTGACTAGGTACCTACATACATCCACGATAAGGATATATGTATATGTATGTATGTATATATACGTACATACCGATAAATCATATAAAGTAAAATGTGGGTGTGTATAAATATATACATGTAGGTGACTAAAAAGAGCAGAAAAACGAAAATGAAAGCTAGTTCAACTAAACTATATAATTAATATAGGTGTATGACGATAGCATATATAAGCATTATAGCTCCGTGGGGCTCAGCTATACAAACACAGAGAGAAACTCACGTACCGCAGATGCTGTACAGAGCCACCACTTCCAATTTGACTTTTTTTTTTTTTGCACTTTTAATAAATATAATTAAATTTTTAAAAAGTTTAATATATATAAATTGGAATGTATGTATAATATTTCGACTTCATTTTATTTGCTGCTACTATCTCGAATCTCTCTATTGGCCAATGGCGGAGAAGGTCGAGTTGTCTTTTGTCCATGTGTGGAGGACAAGCCAAGAAGACGAGAAAACTAGTACGTAAACCACATAAATTAACCCATGACCAATTCTAACGTATATACATACACGTATATAAACACATTATTCCGACGTGTTGAAATTCATTGCTCTCCACATATATATATATGGACATACGATGGGAACCCGATAGAGGGAGTCTGATGTTATTATCTTCTTATAGTCTGTCGTTGGATATCCATGTCACCAGCCTAATCCTGTTTGTCTCTTTCCTTAATTCATTCAAATTCATAATACATACATATATATGCTTCTCTCAGTTTCCTTCAAAATAAACATTAATTTCATCAACCCAGTACATACTATATATTTAAAATATTCCATGGTAATAGCTAATCATGCATGTTTAACGATGAACAGAAGACGGTCTTTCTAAAGGGAAGAAAAAATAAGGCCCGTATGATCAAAACAGTAGTAAGTGAAATCCAGATCTAGTCTCTCTCACTGTGTGTGTGTGTGTGTGTGTGTATATATAGATGGATGTACGTACGTGTATGCGTATATAACTGGAAATGCAGAGAGATACGTAGTGTGTGGAGTAATCTTTGTAAAATAAATAATATTGGGATGGGATGGATAACATGAAATGTGAGAAAAGAACTGTCGTAGGTAAAGAGGTGGCAGGGCTGATCAAACGTGGTCATTTGCAATCGTTCTAAAAAGCGAAAGATTTTTAGGGTTCAGAGGATCCAAATGGGTATCCAAACAGGACCCACTTCCATATTACCATCTGGATTCTTCATATCTGCTCTCTGCTTTTTGGAATCATCACTTTTTCTTTCTCTACAATTCTACCACTCCTCCCTCTGCATACAATATATATGTATAGATATTATGTCTCCAATTTGAACGTGGCGTGGCCCACTCTAATTGCTTATATAGGCTGATTGTGTTCTTGACCAGAGTATTCCTTGTTTACAGAGAAAAAAAAAAAAAAAAAGAAGAAGCTGATATTCATGTAATTACAAACTAAACATTATAATTACATGGAGGAAACCAAACATTACGTGCATGCTTCCCACCACATGAACAAATCACCTTGATTTAAGGCCCCATATATTTTGTAGTTGGCTGACTTTCATAATTAAGCAAATCTGACAAACATTGCTGTACATAAACACACACACACACACACATATATATATACACACGTGTGTGAGTGTGTGTAGGTAGGGTAGGGTAGGGTAGGATAAGAGCACTATTATTTAGTCACGGATAGATTTTTTTTACTCTTTTACTTGCTTCCGAGCGTTACTTATGTTTAAGACATAAGGATGACAGAGTTGTGTGTTTATATGCTAGTTCCCCTCACGTAATGCATTTTTTATTTGGAATGTACTAAGGAGAAATAATACTATCCTATTGGTTCGAGTAAATTTTCACTATGTATATACTTATTTTACTAGCGATGATCAACATGTTCTCGCGCCTCGTATGTTGAAGTACAACAAAAATTCTAATCGATATCATATAAAAGGTAAAAGATATCGTTCAAAATTTTCTATTTGGGGGGAAGAGGAAGAGAAACGATTACATTCTTGTGAATTGTTTAATTCGAATTTGTTCAAGAAGAACATATTGTTTGCGGATTATGAAGTTCTAATTTTTGATTATACGGGACACCAAAGATTTCCTCCTTTCTGTCTCTTGAATAAATAAAGAGGAAGTACGGAACATTTTTAACTTTTTCATACTGTCAAAGAGTTGAACGATAAAAATAAATAACGAACGTTTGATTGAATTGACCAGATCAGGTAGGATAAGAGCACTATTATTTAGTCACGGATAGAGTAAGCTAGTTTTTTTTTTTTTTTACTCTTTTACTTGTTTCCGAGCATTACTTATGTTTAAGACATATGGATGACAGAGTTGTGTGTTTGTATGCTAGTTCCCCTCACGTAATGCATTTTTTTATTCAGAATGTACCAAGGAAAAATAATGCTATCGTATTGGTTCTAGTAAATTTTCACTACGTATGCTTATTTTACTAGGGATGATTACTTTCGTGTGAATTGTTTAATTCGAATTCATTCAAGAAAAACATATTGTTTGCAGATTATGAAGCTCTAATTTTTGATTATACGGGACACCAAAGATCTCTTTGTCAAAGAGTTCGAACGATAAAAATAAATAACGAACGTTTGATTGAATTGATCAGGTCATGTAGGAATAATGTTCAAGTTGAATGACTCGTCGTTGATTGAATAGTAAGGTACTTTGTCAGGGTGCGTAAAAAAATCGGCCCAGAGTACCTTGTTTCGTAAATAAAAAAATAAACCCTAAATCAGAACAAGTTCTTGATTATTGTTTGATTTAATTTCAATTAGGATCTTAATATTCAATTTTAATCAACATAGTAAAAATAACTTATTGGGCCGTTCCATCTCAAGATTTATCCATGTGGGCTTCTTGATCTAACCTTATTGGGCCTGTTCTTCAGTAGCACCGTGTTGAAACGGTGCGTTTTATTCTTGAACGTGAAGTTGCGGGAGCAGCCGCGAACTCCATCTGTACTGTTTCTCCTCTCTTTCTCCAACCTCGCATCAAGCCGTCTGCACTGGCTGTTTGAGGACGGTCTTGAAATCTTGCTGCATCTGAACACAGGACATCTTTCAAGCAAAAAATAATAATGGGGAAGAAATCGAAGAAGCCGGGGAAAGGCAAGGAGAAGACTGAGAGGAAAACAGCGAAAGCAGAGGAGAAGAGAGCTCGCAGAGAAAGCAAGAAGCTCTCGCCTGAAGATGACATTGATGCTATTTTGGTAAACCTTTCATCTGTGTCGAATTGTTAAAATATTGGTCTTCGAGTTTTGGTTTTGGTTCCTGTTGTTGTTGTTGTTGTTGTTGACAATAATGGCCTAGCCTTGTGTTTGTTTTGGTTTCGTGTTTGGAATTCGCTATCAGGAATCCACGATATGCAGTCTGCATTTCGTTTTGCATTGGAAGTATTTGTGGAAAGTGCTGATGGAATGTTTAAGAATATATTTTAGATAATGAAAATTGCAAACCCTGCAAAGTCTATTAATTGTCCGTCACTTTTTACCCCCTGTTTGCTATTGGAACTCATGACTTCCTTGACTTGTAGCTTCAGCTCTTGAGCTTAAAAAGATGCAGTTCGCGTACTAGAGCGTGTTAAAATTACAATATGAATAATACAAGTTGGACTTTTTATATCCGCTTTAAGCCATTGAGATGATTAGTCGCTTGATTTATGATTTCACAGGAAAAATGTAAGAAGAGCAGGAAAATCTAAATTAGATACTCTCTAAAGCTAGAAAATCACGATGAAGTATCCCCATGATCCTCTTCTTTATATGATTATAAATATAGTTAAACAGAGAGGTGGACAATATTCTGTTTATTTAACCATTTTTTTGGTCTTTCCAAGATTGAAAAAGAGGTATCACCATGAATTAAGCAGTCATCTATTGTTTCGGTCAAGGTACTACAATCATTTAACAATGTGAAATTTGGTTCTCTAATATCGTTTGGGATGAACGGAATTTCACAGTTGAGTATACAAAAGGAGGAAGCTAAGAAGAAGGAGGTTCATATTGAGGAAAATGTTCCAGCACCGTCGCCTCGATCTAACTGTACGGTAATAACCTTGTCTGTAGTCTTTTAGTGAACTTTTTAATGTTTTGAACCCTTCTGCTGTGATGATGAGTACGATTCTGTCGATTAAAACTTGCAGCTGAGCATTAATCCCACGAAAGAGACAGAACTGATTCTCTATGGTGGAGAATTTTACAATGGGCAGAAGGTTATACTTCAAGAACCTTTGAGAGTGTGATAGAGTTTTTTGAAATAAATTAAAGTTGTTTCTGCTTACTACTAAATGGTTACAGTTGTTTTACAATTGTTATGCAGACATTTGTGTATGGTGATCTCTACCGGTTTGATGTAGAGAAACAGGAATGGAAGTTGATTTCAAGCCCTAATAGTCCTCCTCCTCGCAGTGCTCATCAAGCAATTGCTTGGAAGAATTATCTCTATATTTTTGGTAGGTTAACAGAATTTGAAGCCTTTCACTTTCAGTTGATGAATTTACGTCAATAACAGCATTTCTTTGTCATTAGGTGGTGAATTTACATCTCCAAATCAAGAGAGGTTCCACCACTATAAGGTGAAGCTCGTCTACCTCTTAAAAAAACTGCAAATTTTATTTTGATATTTTCTAATATTTCTTTAACTTCTACGTTATAGGACTTTTGGATGTTGGACTTGAAAACAAATCAATGGGAGCAGCTAAATTTGAAAGGGTGTCCAAGTCCACGATCAGGTCATCGAATGGTAAGTGTAGGTTTCTTCAAACTATATTGACCATTGCTTCACTGTCAAGGACGCAAAGTATCGATAGTTTTGAGCAGTTTCAATATTATTTTCATTTGCCTTTTTTTCCCTGACAAACATATGGAACATATGGAAACATGAAACAGTATGGTTATAGATTGGGGTAGAAATATATCCTTGGGGGTTTCTCTTCATGCATTCTATTATGTGTTTTATGGACATCCAATGAGACTGTAGCTCGTAGTTGATGATAATGATTCTTTTGCATATGATGTGGCAAAGAAGGCACTTCAAACAACCAATTTTTTTTTTTGTTTTCTGAAGAAGTATTATCATGTAGAACCTTACAAGTATGCTCTACGCACCTCTCTCTTTGTCTACTTGCTGGTCCAACACATGTGTCCACAAGTGTGCATCTTATTTGCCAAGTAATCAAGCTTTAATGGTTTGTGAATTTTCACTGTTGATATGCTGCAGGTACTTTACAAGCACAAGATTATCGTTTTTGGTGGCTTCTATGACACTCTTAGAGAAGTAAGGTTGTGACAGGTCCTTGTCTGAAAAGATTGAAGGTTTTATTAATACTCATATAGAGTGGAGAGGTAGTCAAAATATTGAAATCAATCACTCTCTCTTTTTTCTTTTGTTTGGCCAACTTCCTCAGTGGTGAGTTTGAACTTGGGGCTTCTAGCCCTATTACCAGCGCCCATTAAGGCAAGCTAAAAAAATTTTCTTGATGCCGAGTTTATTTTTTTCTTTTTTATTGTTACTGTTTATTTCTTATTGTTCATTGGTTTTTATTTATGTAGAACTAATATATAGTCTTTATGCCATGGCGTGGATGCTAACCAAATATTAGGAGTTTGGGATATAGTTGAGTTTGAATGCATGTGACATTGTTATCAAGAACTTGAATGTTGAAAACCTTGACATGGGGTTGGCCTTCCAGCACTATTTTCTAGTTGTTGTCTGAAACAAAAGTCAGCAATATTGTCAATTTAGATATGACCAGTTTCACTTCCTCTTCCATGTTTATTCTTTTCCAATCTGAGAATGTAATGCTGTTCTGAAGTTTTACCAACAATATATCCTTGTTGGTGGGAATTTAAACCTAAAAGCATCATTCCCGTCCATTTGAGGTTTGACTGGAATTTGTTACTCTTATACAGGTATTATAATGATTTATATGTTTTTGACCTAGACCAAATGAAGGTGAACACTTAAGACTGATTATGTCATGCCAATTATTCAGTTTATATCTATTATTTGACTGAGATGGGTTGTTTCATTATAGTGGCAAGACATAAAGCCAAAGCTTGGTGCTATGTGGCCCAGTGCCCGGAGTGGTTTTCAGTTTTTTGTGCATCAAGATGAGGTGAGTGAGCAAAGGTGCAACTTATTGGGACTCCTAAGTATTTGAGTTCATTCTGTGTATATTTTGTTGACTCAGTTTATTGAAACAGTCAAGTTTTTTCATGAAGTGGTAGGACATCTTACGGATATAAGTACATTTGAATTAAAAGTATCTTGCAGACCAGTAGGAATCTACCATATTATATCCTCAACGAAAGATTAGTGTAGAAATTGATGAACACTTTGTTGTACATGTGAAATTTTGTTGTATTATGTACTTTGTTGGCGACCCTAGATTCACTGAGTGAAATTTGAATTCCACCACTGAAGATATTTTGGGTTTTGTTGCCTTTTTTAAGTAAAGAAGTTTGTCATCCATGTGAATCATGGTTTCTAATTCACTTCTCTAATTTGTTTGTCTCCTTTCATTTCTTGGGTGAATGTTAATTCCAGGTGGAGATATTAGAGTTCGGTAGAAACAAATGGACATAATACTGCTCTTTATCTTTTAGGTTGTTTGGAAAGAGAGAAGTAGGAGGGCTTTTGAGGGAGTTAAGGATGTTAATGGTCTTGATATTTTAAAGAATAGATGGTTTCAAACCCTTGTTTTTTTGTTACGGAGTCATTCTCTCATTTCTGCGGAAGATTTAGCGGAATTTGTTAATATGTTAATAGACTTGTAAATGTTGTAAATGGGCAGCACCTTCTTGGTGCCTATATTAATACAATTATCACACTTTATATTTCAAATTCTTTTTTTTGGGGGGTTTTTGCTGCTCTTATTCTTCAAAAAAAGTAACAGCTCAAAAAGGTGTTAGTTATAAAATTTCTTTTTAGATCTTAATTTTTATGAATTTTATAATGTACCACGTTTTGATGGTCCTTAACTGAACCTAGGGTAGGTTCAGTGTAGTTATTTATTTTATGCAATGCCTGTAACATTGCAGATATTTTTATATGGTGGATACTCCAAAGAAGCTTCTTCTGATAAGAACAGCTCTGAGAAAGGAATTGTTCATTCAGACATGTGGTCCCTTGATCCTAAAACTTGGGAATGGAGCAAGGTTGGTGTTTCCTGTTTGAATCAGACAGAATTTTTATCAGAAAGGAAAGCATGATTTGTCTTTTTCTCCCCAACTTTTTTTACTTCCCTGATTTACAGTATCTATTCTGTTGTGTCTTTGAAATATAATTTCCTGCATATGTTCAGATGGAACTTTACGTTTTTTGCTTATGGTGCATTGTATCAAATGGAACTTTGGTAAAAATGAAAATTTGATACTGGTCCGAGCACTGAAGAGTTCCAAAATGTTAATTGCACTTTATATATCCTTTTTATGATGCATAAATACATCTATCTTTCACATGGGAATAAACTTTCTTATGTTTGGATAAGTTGCTCATAAAATTCGGGGTGGGTTTGAGCTTGCTGCTTCCAAACTCAAGGTGAGTTGGGGTTCGCTCATATCTGCCTCAGACCCACCGCATTATCATTCCTACGGTTTCACTTTCTGAATTATACATGTGATGAACACCTAAATTATACTTTACATGGAGAATCTAAGGTGTGCTTGTGGCTGCATCATTCAATCTATTCTTAGTATATGGTACTAGGATTTAATGAAGTAGGTTCCTGAAGTAGAGTAGAATAATTATTGGAAAAAAACTTACTGCCTTGCCTTTTTATTAGCACATCTCATTTTTTATTACAATTGTTCATGCAACATAATTTTAAAAACAACCATATTGCTTTGCCTTTCATGGAAAAAAAACTCTTGTAAAATAGATTATCTAAGGTAACTCCTCAAAAACGTTATTATTTCATTCCAATAGGTAAAGAAAAATGGGATGCCTCCTGGGCCTCGTGCTGGTTTTTCCATGTGTGTTCATAAGAAACGAGCTTTGCTATTTGGAGGTGTTGTGGACATGGAAATGGAAGGTTCGTTTTCATCTTTTTGTCTATGCCATGAATGCTTTTGCTTGTGACTCTTGTTATGTAGAGCCTGTTTTACTTTTTTTAGTGAAAAATATGTATTATTAGATACAGGAGAAAGGGAAGAAATCTCGTCCATGTCTCATAATGCTCCTATCTAGTACTAGCCTTTTCCTTAGAGAAGAAATTGAATCTGAGTACAAGATAGAGGAGGAGAAGATATTAAAATGTGTAAGCTACGAATAGAAAAACTCTTAGTGCTATGTCAAACATGTCACATACAATGGCAAATTACAATTTCAACTTTTGTGGTATGGCCATTCTAATGTCAAACCATTTATTGTTTTATAACATTTCACAGGCTGGCTTGAGGTTTCTTCCTGAGTCATATTCATTAAACCTATTAATTACAAGGCTATCTACTTTATAAAAATTAAAGAATTTAGAACCTCAAGGTAGTAGAAAGCTTTGCCAAAAAGCAAAAAAAAAAAAGAAAGACGAAGCCACAATGTTTGGTTTTAAAAATGGGATGCTGCTAGGAGTGATACTGTAATTTACCCTAAATTGAAATGAAACATTAAAGAAAAAGGTAATGGTTTTATTGATAATAAAACTTTGGGAGAAACCTCAAGATACTGAAACTTTACCAGAAAACGTATGAGATTTCAGTTTGAAAAATGTTGAACCACAAGGAACGAGACTGTAAGTCGTTTACAATTTTAAGCTCCTTAGGAGCTAGAAAGTCTCTTTGTTCAGGAAAAAAAAATTAACTAAACACCTTCAATGGCTAAACAACTTGAAATTGTTTACCAATTACAAAATGCAACCATCACAGCAAATGGTGTCAATAACAAAGTGATCCTGGTCCATTCTTTATTGTAAATCATGCACATGGTACACTATTCATGGAGACCCGCTGAAGTGGAATACTGAAGGGTTGTCAACAGAAACAAGCTTTTGTCAAAACATTCAAGTGTTTTTAAATTGCTGAATTTTATTACCACCGTGTAAAATGTCATCTGAATTTTTCAACATCTATAGTATATTTTGAAATTTATTTTTGATTACTACCTCCAGTCTTTGGTGGATCTTTTGATGCCGAACTGTATTTATCATATCTTGTTCATAATTTTTGGTGTTATTTAAATGGATGACATATAGATTCAAAGTGAGCCAATAGAGACCCCCATAAAGGGGACTAACCACCCTGGCTAAACTCTTTTGGGGCGGTGTCATGTTTCAATTAGTGAAACTAACAACCATCAGAGTAATAGGTTCATTGTTTAAAAAATATATGAAAAAATGTTTGTTTATGCCAAGGAAGAGAATGAGAAGATTGGCATCATGTTGGAGAGAATGGATAAGCTGTACGGTTTTCTCCCTTCTATTTCTTTTCATGCCAATTTAATTGATGAAATACCTCTCTTGTGAGAGGTGGAAGCTTGCACCTAAGTTATTTAAACCATAATCTACCTGTGTGAATTCTGGTTCTCGCCATGAGAGCACTTATTTAGGCAGAGTAGCAATGTTATGAAGATGTTATGCAGAGGTATTCTTCAGTTGCAGGCAGTATAGTAGTGCGCTTTACTATTAACTGTTTATAAGCCTTCAAAACTCAGAGAGGTGAAATATGAATACTTTGGGTTAAGGTTTTGAATGAAAACTTTGATCTTTTAGTGGTGAAGGAAACATGTCAACTGGTGATTTTCTTATGAGAAACAGTTTCCCAGTTATCTGAAGGACGGTCTTTTCTTAGTCTAGCGTAGTTGAAATATGACAATTATTTCTTCCATGAAGTTAAGATATTTGAATTGATGGGTATCTTTGGTGCTTGCAATTTTATCTTCAGGTGATGTAATGATGAGCTTATTCTTGAATGAACTTTATGGCTTCCAATTAGACAATCATCGGTGGTAAGCCCTCCTGATTTTAGCATTCTGAATAGTTCAGATTATTTAATTTGTTTTCCTTGTGGGCATGTGATTATCTATGGCATCAATTTTGCAGTTTCTATGAGCTGTGAAGTAATAATTGTGGCGTTTTAGCATGCTGTAGCCTCATTAAATTTTACCCCCTCCTGTCCCAAATATTTCTTTCATGGGCTATTCTGCATATATTGATGTTACTCTGCTGCTATAGTTTGTGCCACTAAAAAACATCTGTTCTCTTTTTTGGAATAGGTATCCTATAGAGCTAAGAAAAGCGAAGTTGCCAAAAGATAAGGTACATGGTTATCTTAGCTTTTTTGTCTAATTGGAACTCAGTTGTTTTTTAAATTGTCTCTCTTATGTTCTTTTTGAAATGGTGTTTTGCAGTTGAAAAAGAATTCTGACAGAAAACTCAATGTTTCTGATTGTGATGATAAGACTGAGTCAATGGAAGTGGAGGAATTTGCAGCAAATGAAAAAGATGAGGGGACAGAGCACAATGAAGAAGCCCGTGACATGGAAAACACCATGAAAGAGATATCTCAGCACATGGGAACAAACATGACAATTGCTGGTCACGGGTCAGATGCCAATTCTGATGGAAATCCCAATGAATCTAAAGTTAAATCAAATCTCCAAGTTTCTGTTGCACCTGAGGTCTGTCAGGAATATCCAGATGATGACTAACCTAATTTAATTCTATTATTTACTTGTTTATTTATGTACCTTACAGATTGTAAAACCCTGTGACGAATCAATTCTTGCATGGTTGTTGGGAGAGATACTCTATACATTTATGGGGGCATGATGGAGATGAAAGATCAAGAAATTACACTCGATGATCTGTATTCACTTAATCTTAGCAAACTTGACGAGTGGAAGTGTATCATTCCGGTTTGTTATCTTCTTCCTTATTTTTAAATTCTCATTATAATTAAGAGATTGTGGCTCTGTTCATAATACTTCTTGCTATTATGTTGATTAATGATGATATATCCTACTATTCTTGAGCGAGATGATTTTTTATATTCTACTATTCCATTAGCTATTATGACTTATTGGTTTTGGCTTATGGATGATATATCCTACTATTGTGTTGGTTATGATTTTATTGATCTCCCAAGTTCTGATCTTTTTGGGGAAGGGAGTGAGGAGGTAGGAGGGAGGAAAGAAGGGATTATGCAATAAGTTTTTCCTCTTTAGTCTTTTGAGCTCCAGGTTCTAATTATCAAAAGATTGGGAAGAGAAAGAATGAAGGAAACATGCTATGTGTCTTTCAGATAATCTCATGAAACCTGATAATAAGTAATATTGGCTTTATTGTGATGGCTTCTTCTGCTTTTTACGAGGCACTCGTAGAGACAAGTCTGTATGCAGTATACTGGTGGCTGGTGCATGGTTGACTTGCCCTGGACTGAGCTATTTCAGGTCCATGACAAACTGATGATATCTCTGCCTCTACAGACTTCAGTGAGGAGAATAAGGCTAACATGCTATATGTCTTTTAGATAACCCCATGAAACCTGATAAGTTTGTAAAAATTGACTTTATTATGACGGCCTCTTCTGCTTTTTAAATTTGATTTATTTTTCTGTGTGAATGTGGATGTAGGCTGTAGTTGCATTATCCAGCATGCTTATGTGGTTTATTGGTATGCTCTGGCTTATTTAGTTTTCTTATCCATTTAGGCATCTGAATCTGAATGGTTAGAAGCTTCAGAGGAAGATGGGGATGAAGATGAAAGTGAAGATGATGACAACAGCAGTGAGAATGATGATGATGATGATGATGATGAAGATGAGGATGAGGATGAGGATGACGTGGAGGTGCACCTCTTTCGTACTTGTTTCAGAAAATTTTGGTTGTTTGTTAGTCATCAATGGTCATTTATGACAAATTGAGTCCCAAATTTCTTCTTCAAATGGGATTTCCTTTTGATTCTTCTTACCTTTCTACCCTTAATATGGGGTATTACAAATATTTCATTCCTTTGGATTTGTGTTTAAGGAAATAAACCATAATGCCAACCTGCTTTTGCAGATGCCATGACTGAGCTACCACTCTGGCTTGTATTAAATGTTTTCTAGCATCATATAAACCCAACTACAAGAATTATAATGTTTTCATGAAGCAGTTGTTTCAGAAAATATAAGTTTCACAAGAAAATGAGAATTTCTGCTGATCTATTTGATTTCGTGTTCACTTGTCTGTGTAGGGCAGGAAGAATTGTGCTGGATCAGTTCAAGTTGGCGATGCCATTGCTATAATAAAGGGTGATGGAAAAATTCTTAGGAGAAAAGAGAAACGGGCTCGAATTGAGCAGATCAGGGCTAATCTTGGTCTTTCAGATTCACAAAGAACCCCAGTGGTATTTCCCCATTGGCAATGAACTAGATACTTGATTTTCAAATTTTTGAATCTAAAGTGGGCATTTCTAGAAGATGAGGTCTTAAATACTAGTAGTATCTGTTATGCACCTAATATATAGTTACTTTGTTGCTTTACTAATTGCTCCTCTTTTTTCTTTGAAGCCTGGAGAATCATTGAGGGATTTCTATAGACGCACAAGTTTGTACTGGCAAATGGCTGCCCATGAACATACTCAACACACTGGGAAGGTTTTTTCCTTTTTCCTTTTCCCAATTAATGCGTATTATCTATTCTGCCTCTTAAATTTCAATAATGAATCAAATGTTCAGGAAAAAAAATTAAAACACTGGTTTTTATAAAAACTTGCCTTTTGGGTTTGTGAATCTACTGGCTTCGTATATTTTTTGAAATAAAAAATTTTCTACTGGTTTCATATATTATTAGTCGTTTCATTGTCTTCCCAAATAATCAATCTTGGGGGTTATAAGAAGTTGCTTTTTGGGTTGTCTGTCTTACTGGGTTTTGTGTGGGCAACTGTGGGTACTTCATAAATTCATCTATCATTGATATTTATCTATCATTTTGTTATAATCAAGGAGCTTCGTAAGGATGGTTTTGATCTTGCTGAAGCTCGATATCAGGAACTAAAACCAATTCTTGACGAGGTAAATGTTTTTGCGCTCTTTTATCCACCATCTCTTATCGTGTGAGATATTGTTGACATTTAAATGCACGTATCTGATTTTCTGGGCATCCTGCAGTTAGCCATATTAGAGGCAGAGCAAAAGGCTGAAGAAGCTGAGGGGCCCGAAACTAGTTCGAGGAAGAGAGGCAAGAAGAAAGAGCGGAAGTGATCATCATCTCACTTGTCGGGGGGCATTTTTCTTTGGTACACAACGTCAAAAGCACCTAAACAGTTTTGGTAGTTTGATATAAATGTCCGAATTAATTTCCATCATGTATTTACACATGGGTGCAATTTATAAATTTTATATATTGTTAGGAATATGTTTATGGTTTGTATGGTGAAGATTACCAAATCAGAGAAATGTTAAAATGGACAAGAAAATTCAAAAGTTTGGAATCCTGGATTCTTATTATCGTTTACCACTTCAAAAGCTTTTATATTTCTTTCCTTTCAGATCATCCAAAAAAATAGTAATCAAAATAATGTTTGAATGTTTATGTGCTGATACCTATCCCCGCCCATAACTCCGTCTGTAACTGATACTGTTATCAGCCACTTTACCCCGAAATAACCCATAGATCGTGGTCTAAGAAACTTAGAAATCTCCGAACAATAAAGGAGTAAATAGCTGCAAATTTACAAGTTAATTTATTTGGAGTTATTTAATCAGTGATCTATTTCCAGTTGATTTCTGCCTGTGTTGGTATACTTCGAGCGACCCCATTCATCTCGGCATGGGATCCAACAATTTTACAAGTATTGACAAGATTCTATTTGTCCTCGCTACTTTCAACTTGCCAAATGTTGGAATATAGAGGATAGCAAAAATTAACAGAAATGCTCAAGAACCTGCAGCAATTGGATTATACAAAACAAAGTTTCCAGGCGGCAACAATTGATGCTTCTAGTATTCGACATTCGAGAAGGGGATTTTGATTGTCCCCTTTGACGAATTGGACGGTAGACCCACACTATTTGCCTTGAATGTTTTTTCCGCCAACTCTAATGTACGGGAAGCTTGGAGGGCCATCTCAGCATGGAGCTGGAGACATGACATAGCCATCTAAAACAACAATGCACCATCCGTCACAAGCACATATATAAAAATGACAGCCTAGAGATTGAAATCATAGAAGAACAAGAAAAATTTATGATTGTAAATAGATACATACACACGAATCCATGATCATACAAACTGAAAGAAAGCAGCAGGCAATGTCATTTCATACGGATATAAATATCCATGAACGGAGCTTCTACGCTAGCTCCCATGAAAGGGCAATGATGGATGAAATGAAAGGTAGCAAACAATATAATGTATATGTTGGATGTACCATGTCAGTGTAGAACAGACTCCATTTTCAAGAGATATTTCCACATAAGCATGCAGCTTGGCTAACTTCTACTACACTTAGCATTATCAGTAGAAAACTACAAACTTAGCCAGGAATGTATATGCATGGTTCAAGAAATGGTACCCAGTGAACAGCCTTTCAAGATCAAGGTTCAGCAGAAAATGAAGGGATCTATTGTATATCTACCAACCGATTACCCATAAAATTCCTGGGAATAATAATACTGATAATCCAAACCGGGGAAGAGGCAAAAAGGACACTGGACACTGTAATATCCACATTTTCTACTGATCTCCTAAATGTATCAAGCCAAAATGCAGCAACAGCAACCCCTAAAGAAAAGCCAAATGTGACCCTCTTTTTAGAGCTTTAGCATATTTCACTCACCGTGTAGCAATCCTTATCAGTGTCTGAGTCAGCCACATGAAGAGCCCATGTACGAACCCATTCAAGACCTTTGGAAAGTTCAAGGTTGCCTTCAACCAATGAAGATGCAACATAAGAGGGATGAAGAGCCAGTAGAACACATGAAGCGGCAAAAAGGACAGCT